ATTGAAAAAGGTCCAGAAAAGGGCAACAAAATGATTAAGGGTTTGGAACGGGTCTCATATGAAGAAAGATTTAAAAAAACTGGGACTTTTCAGCTTACAAAAGAGGAATCTAAGGGGGGAGATGACTGGTGTGGAAATCATGACTGCGGTGGAAAAAGTGAATAAGGAAAAGTTATTTACTTATTCCCACAATATAAGAACTAGGGGTCACCAAATTAAATTAATAGGCAGCAGGTTTAAAAGAAACAAAAAGAAGTTTTTCTTCACTCAGCCCATAGGCAACCTCTGGAACTCCTTGCCAGAGGACGTTGTAAAGAAATGTTTGTCTGGAAATGGTTGACAGGACAGGGTTCATGTGAGAATGACCTGTTTTATTCCTTCCTGCTGGGGCATCTGGTATTGGCCACTGCTGGCAGGCAGGATACTGGGCTAGATGAACCTTTGGTCTGACTCATAAGAACGGCCATACTGTCCTTATGACACTTCTGAAGATCCAACACAGCAGCAACCGACATTATGCGGCAGCCAAAGGAATGGAGACCACCAGAGATCCATACCCCACTCTGGGGACATCACATGGCACAAATAGGGCAAAAAAGTGCACCCTCCTCTAGCAGTGTCTTCACCCATCCTGTGTTGCCCTGTGGCCCCTCTCACTCTAGGGACTGTAGTCTCAAGCTGAGTCACCATATATATTCCTCTTTCAGGGTTGATGTAACAGTCTTTCTCTTGCAGTCTGCTGTCCCCTATGCTTTGTCCCCAGTGCTGGTAGGGGAACCTGGGTCTTCCCTCTACTCTGGGCTGCACCCACGGCCTGCACTGTCTTACCTTACTACTTTTTCTCTGAGTCCTTTCCTACCTCTCCCCCTCCCCCTATGGTCCCCAGTAGGGTTGCCAGATGGTTGAACCAAAAATACCAAAACCCCTCCCCCCCAAAAAAAACAGGGAAAAAGTTCAGAGGAGGGGGAAAAAAGGGGGAGGGGAACCAAAGTTGTTGAGGGAAAAAAAAAGGAACACCAAGACTTAAGCAAAAATAAATAAATAAATAATAAAACAGCATGGTCCCTTTCAGAGTGAGTGAAGAGTCAAAATAGGGATAGGAACAGAGGAGCTGTTGAGCACTAAGACCCAGTGAAGGCATTGCTTCCCCTTGGTCTTCAGGCTTCTTGCTGGAGACCATTTTGTGTTCTTGTTCAAGCCAGAACTTAGCTTCCTTGAAGAACCAGGTAACCAAGGAGTGCGGGGGGCTGGGAGTGTCGGGGGGCTGGAGAGGGAGGCCGGGAGCTGGGCCCAGTTGCTGAGTGTGTCACAGGGTTGCCAGGTGTCTGTAATTTTCGCCTCCTGGCTGGGGAGGGGGCAGCGAAAATCAGAAAATACTGGACATTTTAAGTGTCCGGTATTTTCTGGTTTTTACCAGACAGAAGGTGGAAATACCAGACTGTTGGGGCCAATACTGGACACCTGGCAACCCTATCCACCAGCCTCACAACTCCCGCCTCTGAGTGGGACTGTGGGCTACCTTCTTGCCCCAATGCATCTCCTTCCTCCTAGGAAGTGACTGCAGCCTACTTCCCTGCAGGCCCCTTCTGGTGCGAGATCTTGGGCTTTCCTGTTTCTATCTAGCTGAGCCTCCTCCCAATTAATTCCCTTGTCCTGGCTCCTTCTCCAAGTGCAGCCAGTAAAGTTCATTGGCCCATGTGGCCATCTTAACCCCTTTCAGCCTTTTGAGGAGTAGACTCCTCATCACAAGGGTTTTCCAACTATATACAACTTTAATGTTTCTCTTTTAGAAAACACACCTAAGAAATCTCATTTTAAAAAATTACCTTAAAGAATGGATTTCAGATTGCAAAGCTGAGCACTCAAATTAGGAAATGCCAGTATAGCCCTGGTCCAGTGCATTATTATATAGACTTTATATATGTGACCTTTTATGATTTTTCAACAGAACACAAGCTTCATTCAGTGCTCAAGTTGAATGCAGAAGGTGGCAGTTTTAAGGTTAAAAGGGCAACTTTAGGTTGCAAAGCCAAGCATTTGAAAGTAGGGAAATGCCAAATCTAAACAAAATTATTTTAAGTTTGATATAATCACTAACAAGTTCAGTTTAACATTCATGCTACTGATTCTGGAATTCAAACATATTAGTAATTTGCTGGTGATGATGGAGAAACCACTACTAACATGTCTGGTACTGTTTACAAAATGTAATTAAACAGCAATATAGAGTAACTGCATTTCCTGGAATGACAATTAGATCTTTTGTTATGTCTTTAGACTGCAATAAGATTGAATGAATAAAGCAAAATTTCTACAGCCTGATGCAGAAGAAAAAACTGTGTGTGTTACTGAGGCTAGCCTTTGTGACATAATTGCTACGTGCACACTTTCTTTATATTTAGAGATAATGCTAAGGACTTTGCTACTCATGCCAGTATAAAGTTTTGTTCCTGTTAGTTTAGCTACTGAGGTATGACATTAGCCTCATTTCATTCTCTACAAAAACGTTTCTATTCACTGCAAGATTAATTTTGCAGTACTTACGTATTCCATTAAAGTAGGCATTACGATGTTAGCATACATGCTATCTTCTTCCTTTCGGTAGTCTTTTTTTGGTCTCAATAGAACAAAATTGAGGCTTTTCTCTGATGGGAAACACTAAGGGCTTGGTTGCAGGGAGTAGCAATGCTCACAGGCAGGGGGTGATTTCTAACGCACATCTGACTGTTGTGTAATAAATGATCCACCTAGACTTGTTGGACAATAAGATTGAATGAATAAAGCAAAATTTCTACAGCCTGATGCAGAAGAAAAAACTGTGTGTGTTACTGAGGCTAGCCTTTGTGACATAATTGCTACGTGCACACTTTCTTTATATTTAGAGATAATGCTAAGGACTTTGCTACTCATGCCAGTATAAAGTTTTGTTCCTGTTAGTTTAGCTACTGAGGTATGACATTAGCCTCATTTCATTCTCTACAAAAACGTTTCTATTCACTGCAAGATTAATTTTGCAGTACTTACGTATTCCATAAAAGTAGGCATTACGATGTTAGCATACATGCTATCTTCTTCCTTTCGGTAGTCTTTTTTTGGTCTCAATAGAACAAAATTGAGGCTTTTCTCTGATGGGAAACACTAAGGGCTTGGTTGCAGGGAGTAGCAATGCTCACAGGCAGGGGGTGATTTCTAACGCACATCTGACTGTTGTGTAATAAATGATCCACTTAGACTTGTTGGAGTGAATTAAAAGTTCCCTAGTTTGCATTAATTTAAGTGGCTAAGACATGATCCCTGACAAAAAATGGACTGGAACAACTCATAAAAAAGTGGTTATAATGGGAGAATTCAAAGGCTTTGAGCATTATTTGGCTACAGACTATTTCACAATCAAAGTAAAAATTCCCTGCCCAAGGACATTCTCTCTCCTATCTGTAGCTTTAAATATCATGTAATAGTTTATATTTAAATAAACTAGGGGGCTGTGCCCCTGTGCTCACTTCGCTTGCCAAACCCTCTCTCTCTGGCTGCGAAATTCAGTCGTGCGTCAGGAAAAACTTTTTTTTAATATATAGAGAGAGGAGTAAATATTATCTGGGTGAATATAACCTCGGGTTTTGGACACGGCTTTGTATATTGTATGTCTGAGCAACTGTAGTAATCTGCTGCTTTTATGAATGAACTGACAACAGCGCAAAAGTATGTCAGTCCACATTACAGGCAGTCCCCGGGTTATGTACAAGATAGGGACTGTAGGTTTGTTCTTAAGTTGAATCTGTATGTAAGTCGGAAATGGCGCCCAGATTTAGCCACTGCTGAAACTGACCGCCAGTTCTGACTTACATACAGATTCAACTTAAGAACCCCAAGTCCCCAAGTCAGCTGCTGCTGAAACTGATCAGCAGCTGATTCCAGGAAGCCCAGGGCAGAGCAACTGGGGTGCTGCTGGGTTGCTGGGGTGCTGCTGGGTTGCTTCAGTAGCACCGCTCCTCAGCGCTACTGGACCAACCCAGCAGCACCCCAGCTGCTCTGCCCCAGGCATCCTGATTCAGCCGTTGCTGAAACTGACCAGCAGCGGCTGAATCAGGATGCCTGGGGCAGAGCAGCTGGGGGGCTGCCGGGTTGGGCCAGTAGGGCCCCG